GACTCTCCAGTTTTTTGCATGGTCTATCAGTGGATTGAGCAGGGAAATAAAGGATTCCTTTTAGGTTCTGGCCTCAGAGCAATCGATTATTCATGAATTCTAGGAATCCTTCTTGTGGGTCGTGTGCTAGGACTGGAGAGGAACCTGAGCAACATTTTCAGTTTCTTTACATATTTTTATTGTATTTCCCCCTGTTACAGTGCTGGCACCCTACCAACAAAGTCCATGTCTGTGTAATTTGGGTTTTTTATTTTCATTTTTGTTTTTTTGAGACAAGAGTCTCACTATGTTGCCCTTGGTAGAGGGCTGCAGCATCACAGCTCACAACAACCTCAAACTCTTAGGCTTAAGCGATTCTCTTGCCTCAGCCTCCCAAGTAGGAGGGACTACAGGCACCCACCACAACACCCAGCTTTTGGTTGTTGTTCTTATAGTTGTCGTTGTTGTTTAGCGGGCCTGGGCTAGGTTCGAACCTGCCAGCCTCAGTGTATGTGGCTGGTACCCTAACCACTGAGCTACGGGCGTCGAGCCCATGTCTATGTAATTTGTGAAGAGCACTCCAGCTATCCACCCAGTGTCTCTCACAAGGTCATGGTTCAATGCCTTAGTTGAAGACTGGTAAATGACATTGTGTGCTACAAACCCCCAGTGTCAGATCCCAAAGAGGGGCTCACATTAATTGGCAGGGAGGAGGTAGGATTTCATAAAAGGAATTTGAATAGAGCAAGAGAAGAAAGCCGGAAGGGAGAGAAAGCTGGAGCAAAAGTGAGAGAACAGGCTGAACAACTTGGCCGCTGGAGCGGACCTCACCTGGTGGTGTTCCCACCACCTCTTCAGCTTTATGCAGTACCTATGGGCATCTCACTTTAGGAAGTATAGGGGCTCCAAGGCTTAGGAGTTATAAAAGGTATTAAAGATCAGATTACAAGATATGCCTGGGGATATCGGGGAAGGCAGCAAACAAACATAAAGGAGAAGGTAACCGAGTGAAGTCTGGCCAGCAAGGTAGGACAGCGTCTCATCAAAAAAGACCTGGAATGTCACGCTTTCAGCCCTGCCTGAAGGCAATGTGGCATTATAAAAAGAACAAGAAACTTGAAGCCCAGCACAAAGACATGGTCTGCCACTGCCCAGCTATGTGACCACAGGAAAGTCGCTTCTCTCAGAGCCTCTAAATTGGAGCTGCGCAAGACTATTCACTCTGAATTTTAAAATGTATGTAAAGCTCCAGTTATGAGGGGTGACTAACCTTCAGAAGAGCCTGGGCAAAAGTTATTTCCCCTCCCCTTCCTGACACAGTTTCTGCCCTCCAGAATGGCATGGGAGTAGAACTTTGGGAAATGAACCTGACCGTGGATTCCTTCAAGCTTTAGCTCATCCAACCTTTTGGAGCCCCTGCTTTGCTAGACACCATAGGGGCCTACAGGCTATTGGAGAGAGGGAAGAGACCCTCACAGCAACTTAGAATAATAATAATGCAAAGACCGACCCAAAGTCACCCAGGAGTTCAAGAGAAAGAAGAGGCACCAGCCAGATCAGAGACAGCATTTCATTAGGCTTTTTTTTTTTTTTAAGACAATATTTCACTATGTTGCCCAGGCTAGTTTTAAACTCCTGGAATGTCAGCCTCCCCAAGTAGCTGGGACAACCATGAGCCACCACAACTGGCCTTATTAGGCCTTGAAGAATCTGATTTTAAAAGGATAAAGACCAGAGGCAGAGAGGCTAGCTATTATAACTTTTCTAGGATTCCTTTTCTCTAGATGGGGATCAATATATCCATTGGGTAGTGCAAAGAGCCTCACAGAAAACTTGGTCTTGCTTTGTCACCAAGGCGGGAGTGCAGTGACAAAATCATAGCTCCTTGCAGCCTCCTGTGCTATAAGACCCTCTGATGTCAGCCCCCTAAACAGCTACGATTATAACCATATGCCACCACATCCAACTAATATTTTTGTTTTTTAGAGACAGGGTCTTACTATGTTGTCCAGACTGGTATTGAACTCCTGGCCTCAAGCAAACCGCCCACCTTAGCCTCCCAAAGGGCTGGGATCACAGCCACCACACTCAGCCTAAACCAAGCTCAGTTGGTTTTTGTTTGTTTGTTTTTGAGACAGAGCCTCAAGCTGTCACCCTGGTTAGAGAGCCGTGGCATTACAGCTCACAGCAACCTCCAACTCCTGGGCTCAAGCGATTCTCCTGCCTCCGCCTCCCAAGTAGCTGGGACTACAGGTGCCTGCCACAATGCCTGGCT